TCAAGTGATCCACCCACTTCGGCCTCCTTAAGTGCTGGGATTACAGGCATAAGCCACCACACCCAACCAAGGAGGTGATATTTGAGCTGAAGTTTGGAAGCTGAGGTGTCCCCCAGGTGAAGGAGGTGAAAATGGGAGTTTTAGCAAAGGGAGCAATGAATGAAGGCATGGAAGATGGCACATTAAGAGACCTGGAAAACTGAAAGTAGTTTAGTGTGGCTGGATGATAGTGTGCCAGGAAGGGGTGGGAGACATGAGGCCAGCCAAGCAAACAGGATTCATATCCTGAGGGGCCTTGAAGGTTGGGACCTGTGTTTTCATGGTATCTCTATCTGGCTGTAGCAAGGAGTATAAATCAGAAGGTTAGGCATGGCAGCAGATGTACCTGTTAAGAAAAAATTTTCAGGAACCTATTTGCAAAATGAAGTGCCAGCAATGGTGATGGAGGGAGAGGAGAGTTCAGACTCTGTATGTGGCAAATGATGGAGAGGGAGCATGAAGGATAAAACCCAGGATTTTAGTACTGGCAACTGTGTGAACTGTGATTCCATTCCTTTAAGATCAGATATATCAGAGGAAGCACAAGTTGTAGGGGAAGATGGTGAGTCTTGGGCATTTTGAGATGGAGGTGGTGGGACAGCCAATGGAGACAGTAGAGCTAGTGGAGTCAGGAATGGACTGTAGCTCTCCTTGGGTCTAAAATTCATGCTCTTCTCTCTAAATTACATAAGTGAATGTTCTCATTGAAACCAAAAGGGAGAGAGAGAGAGTTGCAAGAGCTATATAACAGTAGCCAGTGCTGCAGAACAAACTCCTTTGAATTTGACTATTGGGAGGTCATTCATAACCTTGGTGGGAGCTGTTTAATTGGAATCTTGGGGATAGGTTGCAGGAGACAGAGGTGATGTAAGAGCAGTAAGCAAATGCGGACCCCTCTTTTCAGTAAGCATGGCTGAGAAGACAAGGAAACAAGATATGTCTGAGAGTGTGAGAAGGTTGGAGAAGGGTCTTTTTAAAGTGCAAAGAGCTTGAGTATGTTTGTGTGCTGAGGAAGTGGAGCTACATAGAAGAGCAGCTGGAGATAATTGCTGCAGAGGGATGATGCCCCTGGATGAAGGAGGCCTAGAGAGCATTTGCTTGTGGCCTCACCTTTTCTAGGAGGACAGTTCTCCCACTGATTATGTGGAAAAAAGGTAAATAGAGGTGTGGCTGCTAGTAAGTTTATGGGGCAGAGGAGGATCACAGAAGAAGCTGGGCATGTACTTGCCTGATGGCTTCTATACTGTGTGTGTGTGACCTATTAAGAGTGTTAAGGAAGTGGATTGGATAGGGGGCTTAAGGAAGTGGTGACATTGGAAGCAGGTGTTGTAGGGGACCTCTGGAAGGACCCATGGGCAGCTGAGGTTGGGTGCTGTGACTATGTGGGGGCACTGACCTACATGGTTGTGTTATTTTCTCCACCAGTGCAGCAGCTAGGAATTCATGTGT